GAAGGTCAGGGAAGTTCCAAGGAAAATCTTGGGGATTGAATTGACCGCATGTAGAGCTGAGGAGTCAATTGAATCTCAATCTTCTCTGCTTTCTAAACATATATCCTTCAAACCTTGGCTCCTCCATTTGGGTGATGACCTTAAGGTCTGTCAGACCTATTCTCCTAGCCTGAAGTGGAATCATTTCTTTACTTCTTCCTTAGCATTTCCTGAGCACCTACTAAGTGCCAGGCTTTGTGCTAAGTTTGGTGAATCAGAGATGCCTAACCAGGAGGGTTGCAGCCATCCAGGAAGGAGACTATCATGATGCAAGGGGAAGAACTCCCCCACCCTAAAACTAGACCTGATCTTCTAGAGCAGTCTTGTTCGACCGGATCTCAGGGGTGGAAGCAAGAGAAGACCAAGTTCCTCTGGGGCTGCCAGCCACTCAGGAGCGTTCTCCCCAGAAAGACAGACACCTGATCTCTCTGCCTCCAGCATCATGCAGCTAGTAGATATTCATTCACACTTAGTGCTGGGAGTGGTGTGTTGATGAATGGCATCACAAATGTCTATCATCAAGCATCTACCATGTATAAAATGTATGATACAAAAGAAAGGGGGGGGGGAAGGAAAAAGTCAACTGCCAGTTTCTTCCATCTCAAATCTAAAAATCTGGTGATAAGCCATAAAAATTGGAGGAATGTGAAAAGAACATGGGTTGACGAGTTCAAAGCCCTGGGTATTGATGCCATCTTGTGTAACCTTGGGCAGGACACATCCCTCTGTGCTTCAGTTTGTTCATCTCTAAGTGAGGGCAAGGACAGAGCATGCTCTGGAATTACAAGAATGGTGCTGCCTGATGACTTGTATGCTTGTCTTATTTTTCCCCTAAAGTTTGGGTTTTCTTTTCTTTTAGGTGATTTGAGGTCTGCACTAGGCGTGTGGGAAAGAGAAGCGAAGTCAGGGTCAGGTGGGAAGCTGGGTAATAATAAAAGAAGCCAGACACCAACAATATGTTACAGGAGGACGTGGGATGGAAGAGAGATGGAGGGGAGATGCAGGAAGAGGCTGTCAGAAAGGCCCCTCTTCACGAAGGTTACAAACAAGGATGTTTGCTTGTGCCGCTGTACAGCCCTAGAGTGGGAAAGCAATGAGTGCCAAGCTCCAGGGCCACCTAGTCATTCAAGCCACCAAAATGGTGGTTAGGCAAGACTGCTCAAATTGGGTCACTTCAGAGCTTGGGGGGCGGGGCAGTGGGGGAGGTTTGGTCTCAGGCACATTGCAGCCTGTAAACGTGAATGAGCCACCAGGAGCAGGGAAGACCCAAGCTAACAGTAAAGCCAGATCCAGATGTGGCCGTGTTACAGAAAAACACAGTGCCGAAAACACAGAGCATCCTGGCCCTCACGGCCTCCTGTCCGCCTGGAGTCCTGAATAGTTTCCCACACGTGAGCCATGGCTCCTAGCCCCGGCAGTCCATGCACATTTTGAGCTCTGTCATGTGTCACTTACCAGCAGATGCTAGGGCTACTGATGCATACCACACAGAGGAAAAGAGTTCTGCTTATTAAATTACTAAATCCTGTTAGAAATGAGGGCAACTTGCTCCTAATAGAATTTTTATGTTTCTCGTGATCCTTGGTGACTCCCATGAGGTTTTTTTAATCTCCCGTGTGGTTCCAGGGGTGGACTCCGCCAGCCAGCTCCCTCTCCTTTCACAAGCAGGACCCATAAAAGCAACTCTGTCCCTGGGAGGGAATTGCGCTTTCTTAGTATAACAGAGCCTCTCTAATTTGTTTAAAATCTACTGTTCTGCAGACTGAAGGGCAATGAGAGGAAGGTTTTCTTTAAGGAGGAACATGTGTGTGGAGTGGGTGTTCTTTGAAACTATAATAGTTGAGAGGGTACGTGATATTAGTGTTTATTTTATACTGTCCTACTCCTTCCCCCTTTTCCCTCAACACACACAACAAATTGTATAAACGAACATGGGATGTTTGTGCTGAAAAGTTGATGAGTGGATTCACGCTGCCACCCTGCAACAATCTCTCTTGTCACTGGAAATCACTCAGTTTTTCCAACAGTCAACGCTGCCTTGTTGACCACAGAAGATGACTTGGGCTGAGGAAGAATGTGGAAAGTGTCTCACTGCATTTAAAGTGCCATCAAGTTACGTAAAGGAGAAACACGAGTCTCACCTTGCAAGAAGGAAAAGCTAAATTTGATGAGTAAACCAGACCGCAGGTGCTTTCTGGAATGCGTATGCCATCTAACTACTGAGTTTTGCTTTTGTCACGCCACTCTTTTCCCTTTTTCCCTTTGAGTGTCAGGAGCAAATTAGTTTTCGGTTTTTGTTTTTTCCATTCAAAACATCTCTTCTTACGCTAGTGATATCATCCTTGGAAGACTGAGACGTAAGAAGAGTGAATCATGTATCAGCTTCGCATCTCTTCTAGAATTACATTAGCCAGGGCCCTAGGGTGCAGTGGGGATGAAAGCCAAAAAGTAGAGGGGAGGAGGGAGAGAAGGGGAAGGCACCAGAGGGAGGGGAGAAGGCAGCTGGTTCTTTCTTTCGCAGTCTGCTTATTTTCTTCTTCCTCCTTCCTTAACCCCTAAGTCCCCCTTCCCAACTTATAAATCAGATCACAGGAAAAATCAGACTTTAAAGAGACAGTTGACGTATTGACGGTGTTGGTTTGTCATTTGTCTGAACTTTTTGACCAATCGCTATACCCCCATCAGTCACAGAGGAAAGCCAACCTTGGCATTCTCACCGGTCACATAAATTGGATAAGAAGGAAGACAGGCAGGCCCTGCCCCACCCAAATATTAACCATATGATCTTCACCCTGTTTAATGTTCTCATCTGTTTCAAACAGCAGAGGAACTTGGCAGTGTGTGGAAATAATTTAATGTGTGAAATCTAGTCACGCAAGATAGGGGTGGCCCATACAGCTGTGTGCCGGTCAGGTGAGAACTGTGCAGAAGGTGTGCGATGTGGGTGTCAGGAAAGGATGGGCTTTGACGTTCCTGATCTTGCTCTACCTGAAGGTTTAAAAACGTCATTCAGTGATGTGTATCTGAGGTATCCAGGGAAAGGGATAGAAACGCAGCCAAACCAAAATATAATAGATTCAAAGGCCTGGACCTTGTCCTAATAGCTTTAAGAAATGAGTCTGAATGACAACAACAAAAATGTTTCCAAACATTGCCAAATATCCCCTAAGGGGCAAACTTACTACCACTTGCAAACAATTGCCTTGCTAGTAGTGTGACTTTGGCAAGCTATTAACTTTTTGATCTTTTATAAAATTAGCCTACAAATATATTACTCTCAGAGTTAGTGTGATTATTATATGTGCTCAGTGTAGCTTCGCATATTATCTGGTAAATGTTTGGGAATCCTTAGCTATGATGAGAAAAAAAATATTGTTATTTTAGTCACAATCATTATTGTCATGGATTGAACTGTATCCCTCAAAAATTTGTATATTGAAGTCCTAACCCCCAGTAACTCAGAATGTAACCTCGGGTCTTTACAGAGGTAATCGCATTAAAATGAGATTATTAGGGTGGGCCCAAATTCAATACGATTGGTCCTTATAAGGGGGAAATTTGGAGACATACACCAACACAGGTTAAACACCATGTGAAGATGAAGGCAGCTATTGGGGAAATGCTTCTCCAAATCAAAGACACCAAAGATTGCCCCCCCACCCCCCAAACCACCAGAAACTAGATGAGAAGACTGGAACAAATTCATAGCCCTCTCAAGGAAGCGAACCTGTGGATACCTTGATTTTGGATTTCTAAACTCCCGAATGTTAATACATTTCTATAGTATAAGACCAAAAAAAAAAAAAAAGCGACTATTTTTAAATTATTTCCCACCCACCCACCTTTTGCTTTGTTTTTCTAAAGATAGTCTTATGCCTGAACTACTCCCGTTATTTAGAAGAAAATCTTTCACCCTCCATTCCTTTATGGTTCCAGTGAATTCCAGACTCATTAGGATCTCTGGGTCTAGCTGCTCAGAACATATTTATGATGAAAACAAAGCAAAGTGGCCTCAGGACACCAGAGAAGGCCAGGAGTGCAATCCATTTCTGCAACACAGGAAAAGGGGCCCAAAGGGGCAATGGGAAAAAATAATTTGCAGAAGGCACAGTTTTGGCAGCATCTTATTACAACTTCCAGCTGATCGGGTGTAGCCAAACTAGAGACATCTGTTTGGAGTTTACAACAGAAACAAACACAGAAAAAGCATGAAAGCCCTCCCTCCCTCCCTCCCTCTCTCTCTCTCTCTCTCTCTCCCTCTCTCCCCAAGAGCTAACAGCTCTTCTCTGCCTTGACCTCCACACCATTCCCCCACTGAGTCATGCTGGGGAAGGGAAGGAAATCGGTTCCTCCACCCCCTCCCCACCCACCCCACCTGCCCCAAGAATCACTCAGATCATGACTGGAATTCATCAACTTTCCTCTTTCCTTGATTTTCCTCCAGGAAAAACAAAGATGGTCCCACTCCTCAGAGAGCCCCATAGGGACTTTCTTTAGGTCTCTAGTTAACCTTTAAAGCTCCTGGAGCTGTTTGTAAAGGAAAAGATTATATCATATCCTGATGCACACTTGATCATTAGCATGAACCACAGAAGGTGGTAAAACCTCAGATGTTGAAAGCCACTCCTCCCTAAATAACCTCACAAGTCTGGGAGTGAGGAAGAGAACTCACCCTGCATCTCCAAGAGTGAACTGCACGAGACCAGGAAAAGCCCACACTCCCACAACTTAGTGAAGAACGGGGGATATAGTTGAGGGAAAGCCTGGTCCCATCTGCAGCACCCAGAGTGGCAGAGGACCAGAAAGGCCCCAGACTACCATCAAGTGGGTTCTCCTCCCCTAATCACCTCTAAGTACCCCAAAGGCCAAACACTGTCCTGCCACACCATCCCCTGATGGACACGCCCTCTCCCAACCCCACCGCCAAGCATTCTCAGCAGCAGTTTCAGACAGCTCACCTGTTCTTTTCAATTTTCCTCTTTATTCTCTCCCCACTGGGATGCAAACAGAATCCGAGCAGTGCTACTCTTCAAAAATAACAAAATGTTTTATACACATTTCTGTATATACAACTGAACAACATTTTACATGTCCCTTTTGCACAGCAAAAGATATAAAACATCCAGCTCTGAGAACACAGTTATGTACAAAAAAAAGATGTCAAAAATACTTCACAACAGTGCAAAAATATTTTACACAGTATCATGGAGATCTTTAGAGCAGGAGGAAGGTGTGTTTCTAAAGGAAAATTCCTTTTTTAGGTGTTAGACGTCTTTAACTGTAAACAAAATGCAACTTTCTTTCATTCCCCACCCCCAAACAATTATTTGAGGAATTTGGCAGAATTTCAAGGGTCTGAGTCTGAGGTAAACAACCCAAGCTCTCGCACCAAAAGACTGGGGGCAAAGAGGCGGCATTAAAGTTTCAAACACGGTGCGAGCAAATTCCTTTCTCTTTTACTGGACAAGTAAATGGCAATGCTAGGCTGGTCCCAGTTAGGAGATGGGGGGAGGAAGTTAACCCCTCCTCCTGAGGCCCGAGACTCCCCACAAACAGGAAACTGGCCTGCAGGCACCTGACGCCTGCGGGACTTTGCTAACTTCAGCCGGCATTTCCCTCACCAGCGACCCCCAGAGGACTGCCTCTCTCCATCCCTGTAGGGTTTCCCCATCTCGCACGTCCCACCGCATTTCCACGCGCAACCCGAGCTCCACTTAAAACAGAGCCAAATGTGTTGAGGGAGAGGGGCAGGGGTAACTCTGGGCTTCAAGTGTCCCATTTCCCCTTCCCCGGGGGCAAGCGGGGTGGGGGGTAAGGAGGTTGTCTAGAAGACTGGTGAGGAATCACGGTGGTACTCCACGGCGCGCGCAGTAGGTTGCTGGGAGCTCAGCCCGAGTGCTGTTCGTCTGGGCTGGTGCGGTCGGCAGGGCCGGCCTGGTTCCCGGCGGTGGCAGAGGTGGCGTCCGTGCCCCCGCCTTCTATGGAGCTCTCGCTGCCGGTACTCTCGCCAGACAAAAGGCGGGTCACACGCAAGTCCGCCTGCAGGCTTCGCACGTCGTTGCCGAAGCTGAGCTCGCCTAAATCGTTAATAAGCTGCGACAGCTCGGCCTTCACGTCGGAGGAGCTGCCCAGCAGCAAAGGCGACGGCCCAGCCCCGGGGCCCAGCGAGACCCCGCCGCCCCCCAGCGCCTCCTCGCGGCCACTCTCCAGCGTGTCCAGCAAGTCCCCGCATTCGAAGTGCATGGCCATCACCAGCGCCCGCTGCGCCTCGGCCTCTACCTCTGCCGGGCCCCCCTCCTCTGCACGATCCGTTTCCTCCTCCAGGCAGCCTTCGGTGTGCTCTTCTTCCTCTTCCTCTTCGTCCTGCAGTTCCTGCTCCTGCTGTTCGCCGACCAGGTCCTCGGTGATGGAACCGAGCTTGGGAGCGCTGCGGCTACGCTCCACCGGCGGCTTGTAGCAGCAGGGTCCGTGCAGAAGCAGCTTGCGCAGCGGCACTAGTGGGATGGTGTGTGCGCCCACCAGCTCCTGCTGCTGGTGACGCGCGTCGTCCCGCCGCTTGAGCCGTTTAAATTCCGCCAGTGCGTTGGCCGACGTCTGGTAGAGCAGCAGGGCCATGGCCTGCGCCTTCTCGGGCTTGGACACCAGCACCGCATGGCAGCGCAGCATTACCGCCTTGTGCTTGAGCTCGTGCCGGTACACCCAGGCGAAGACCTTGGGCAGCCGCGCGTCTGCCACGCAGTAGGTAACGCGGTGCAGTAGGTAGAGGTGGCCCGGACGGCGCAGCGTGCGCTCCTCCGCGTGTACCATGCGGATGCCCTGCGCACTCACAGTCAGCTTCATCTTAGTGCCCTGACGGCCTGCCTCGCTCTTGCTCCAGATCTTGCCCACCGCTAAGTCGGTGCAGCCGTCGCCGCGCGCCTGGATGGTGGTGGCGTTGCCCAGGTAGAGTACGGTGTAAGTGGGGTCCTCGCTGGTGATGTGCAGCTTCTTGCGCTTGGAGCGGAACATGCTGCCCACCCGGCTGAGCGCGCCTTCGGGGCACGCCCGCGCCAGCGAGCTGAGCGCCGAGTAGTGCAGGCTTACCGCGTAGCCCTTGGGTTTGGACGCCTGCCTTGGCGGCGCCTCGGCCAGCAGCTCGAACTTGTGCTTCTTCCACGGCAGCATCTCCGGAGGGCGCCCCTGCGCAGCTGGGCGGCGGCGGCGGAGCGCAGGGTGCGAGCCCCGCTGAGCCACCCGCCCCGGCCGAGCTCGGCCCGGGCAAGACCGAAAAATAAAACTCTGCTGGGAGTGGCCCAGTGGTAGCGGGGTAGGGGCGGGAGGGAGGGTTATAGAGCTCGGAACACTGCAGGGGGTAAGGACAGAATTTTTTTTTTTTAAAGAAGGAAATACTCAGCTGAAAGTGTGTGTGTGTGTGGGGGGGATAAAAAGCTCACACACGATTTACCCCAGCCTGGGCAAGGACGAAAGCAGAGTCCTAGGCAAGCAAAATGAGAGAAAAAACAAACGAGAGTGGAGCGGAAAATATCTTTAGGTAAAAAAACCAACAGATGCAAGCCTGCAAATAAATAGAGACCCCAAGCAAAAGCAGCCGAGACGGTGCAAGAATATGCAGGAACTCCTCGGCGAATGTGAAAAGGGACCCCGTCTCACACACGCACACACACAATTCCCAGGGCGGGAGCCAGGAACCGCGGAAACTCAACAGCGAGTGAGCCCACGGGCCAGTGCTCCCCACCCCCAAGGGAAGCTAGAGGCAGAGAAAAGACCCTCCGCTGGGCTGGCCCCAAAATCAGCTGCTTGCCCAAAGTGCGGTCCGATGGTGGGTCCGGCTGGCCGCGGCGGGCCCCGCGCAGCAGTCCCGCCGTGGCTCACTGCATCTTCGCTCTGGCCGGACGCCTGGGACTAGGGCTCCACGGGCTCACTGTCCGGGCTGGCTCGGCCCGGGCAGCGCGAGGCTCCAAGGGTGGGGCGCGCGCATGGTCAGCTCCGGGGACTGTCGCTACCTCATTTCTTCCTCCGGGGTTGCCCAACTCTGTTCTCGGGCTCCCCTCGGCCCGCTAACCGCCTTTGCAGCGATACCCCTCCGGTACTGCGAGCGCTGGCCAGCTCGCCAGCCTCACATCCTTGCGGTCCGGGAGCAAGATCTCGGGTAAATATAGGCCGGCGCGAACCATTCGCCGCGCGGGGACAGGGGTGGAGCAGAAAAGAGGATCTGTTTTGGTCTCGGACGCCCGGCGGGTTCCTGGTCTCTTAAAGGGACCTGGTTGCAGCCACTGTTCGAGAGAATGGGCAGACAGGTCTAATCCGGCAATTACATCCCAAATTTACTACCATCTCTTTTGTCAACAGATGTCGCCAAGAACTGGGGTTACCCCTAAGGAAAAGCAACTTGAATTCTGGCACTCCACCCCCAGGCTCAATAACAACTCACTGAATAAATATATGTCTCCATCGAAACTTGTGGAGGAGGTGGTGGAAGGTGGGATTTATACTATAATTTACTATGCAAAAAGGTTGGGGGGGGGGAAATAGTGGTTCTTTCATTGTGTGACAGCTCTCTGAGAATGACTGGGTGCTGGTATTTTTTTTCCCCAGAATTTTATTCTGTTAAAGAAAATAGACGGGGACAAACACCAAGAATTATCTCTCACTGCCTTGGAGCCTTTCTTCACAAGTAAAAATGAGATGAGTGGTGATAAGATGATTAGAATGAACAATGTGCTATATAATTGTTAAATAAGGTGGTACCTGCCCCTAACCTCCTTCAGTGCCCCCTGCTACTGTCAGGCCTCAGAGTATCTCAGTTTTCTGAGATATATATAATTTCCAAGTAATGCTATGTGTGATCAGAAGTCAGTTTACTTTGACAGGCCAGTTGTTCAGTTTTATTATATCATTGACACATTTTGGATTAGAGTTCCTAGTAAAAATTTAAATGATTTTTTTATTTGAGTGTCAAATAATGCCCCACCACCCTCCACTGGGAATGATAATCACATTAATTATTATCTTGTGTGCCAACTGGACAATGTAGCCTTTAATCATCTGACCAGCTTGACCTTTGGCTAGTAACTCATTTCTAGGACCTTGAAACAATCAGCTTGCCTCTATGGGCTGCTCAGTCAAAGCAAAAAAATTCCTATCTGGAATGTGTGACAAATGCCCAAATGATCCTGTATCAAACTCCCAAGCTTGTCCTGGAGGAGGACAGTGTACCTTCCACTCCACAGGCCCAGTCCACTCGGGGATTGTGGATGTCTTTGGCTTCCATGCCAGATTTCATGTAATCCCTCCTGGAAATTCCCTGGCTCTCTACCTTTGCTAACTTTTAACCTTTTTTAAAAAACTCTAATCCAATTTTCTCATTCAGATACTGACTTTCAATTTAACTAACTCCTGAGTACCTTTTGGTGCCAGTCCCTGAGCTAGAAGCAGACCCAATTCTTGTCTCCAAGAAGCACCGATGTGATTTGAACTCCACTCAACTCTGGGTTTGCACTGGAATGTAGGTTCCATGAGAGCACCCTGCATTCCCAAGACCTAATACAAATAGGCACTGCTTAATTGTTGAGTTAATGAATGAGATATGCATATGAATAAGAAGACAATGTGGGCTAAATGCCCTTAGAAAGACCCAAAGTACCATAGGAAGCTGGAAGAAAGAGTTTCATTGTGAGTAGGAAAATCAGAGAAGGCTCCACAGAGATAGTGAGGTTTGAAGGATAAACAGGATGTCTCCAAGGGGGGAAGAATTAAATGGCTTTCTTTGGGTATAGAGGATAGCAAAACTACAGAACATAAAAATGCATGCACATGTGCAGATGAGGATGGAGTTTAACGATTGTAACAATGAAAAGAAAATTTCCTGATTAAAGAAGTCTCCTGATTATGCTTTTTGGGCCCTCCTAGTCTCTGAGGGAAGAAATGGCTTTTTCACGGCTGACTAGCCTTAGGGTGTCATTAGATCAGAGCTGTATGCCTTACTCTTCAGCTGCACTGTTAATGGAGGGATACCAGGCACGGTGTTGAAACGAGCTAGTTAGGACTATAATAAGCTGTTTAAACCAAGGTTAATTCTTCTTCGCTCAAATTTCCAGGATGTCATGCAGTGGCAATGAAGTAGACAGTACGTGCTCTAAACAAACAAACAAAAAAAATCCAGTAAAAACACACCAAATTAATCTGTGCTAAGCAACCTTTAACTGGTACATAATCTCGAAGTCTAAACTCTACAAAAGCAGACATTGTGTGCGAGCAGTAATTTCCAAATTACTTGGAGGTGCAAGGGTCAGAAGGGTTTGGGGAGGAGGAAGTGGGACGAGCGGTGGGAGCTAAGGTTGGCCTCCGCGTCTGCAAGGGGTGAGACCATGCAGACCTTGGGCTTCGTGCAGTGGCAGGGAACCCAGTGGTGCACAATGGCAGGAGGATTGCACTGGCAGGCCAGGCTTTGCAGCGGCAGTCAGTGTCAATCCCAGACACACAGGCCCACAGAGCTGCTCCTATGGACTGGTCTCTGCCACACCTGGACTACCTTCTTAATAAGCTTGCTTTCAACTTTGGGAGGACAGAAAGATGCTAGGCAAATGGGAGCACCGCTGTGTGTGAGTCATGCTCTGTGCCCATGCTCACAGACCCAGGAGGAGGACGAGGCTGTCTCCTGGCAGACTGGGCCTGGGCCAGCCTCTGGGGCCTGCCTCACCTTTTGGAGAAGCTGGCCACCTCCTTGGAACAAGCACAAGTCACAACTTCATTTCTTCAGCCGGGAAAGCTGGCAGACCATTTATGAGCCCACACCACAGATCTGAGACACAGGGCAGTCCCAGAGCAGAACCTCAGCAAAGTTGGTCAGGAAAGGGGGTTAGACATCTCATTGGAGGGCTGACTGCACTTTGTATGTTATGACACTGCCCCATCTACTGGTGCCAGGCAGAACTGCCACTTGGTGAGATGGTTTCTTTTAGAACCGGATAAGCCAGTGACTGAATCAACACATAGACATGTCACAGCTGGAAAGCAACCCGGCTTCTAACTTCACACCTGAGAGTCAGCCTTTTAGTTCACAAAAAGCTCTCAGGCTGGCTTTCTCCCACCTTATTACTTGCATAATGTTCCTCTCTCTCAGGCCCCTTCCCCAACATCCTACTGAATGAACGTTGGCTTCAGAGATGAATCTGGAATCTTCAAAGTCATTTCACAAATATTTGTTGAGTCGATTGAGGATGTGATGTAGTTGCTGGGGATACTGCATGAAAGAGGACAGACAGGTATTTGCCCTCATGGGATTTATATCTTATGAGGAGGCAGATAATAAGCAAACAAACAACAAATAAGACATCAGATAACCATGTCTCTGAAGACAGCAGTGTTAAGAGTGGAAGGTGGCTGGTTTGAGCAAGCACGGCCAGGAAAGGCATCTCTGGGCAGAGACCTGAACGAGATGGGGCCAGCCATGCAGAGATATAGGGGGAGACCATTCTAGCCTGTGCTGGCAATACCGTAGCCACATGAGGAGGCTTCTGGGCACTTGAAATGTAGCTGGTCCAAATTGAGATGCGAGGCAAGTATGAAACACACACTGGATTTTGAAGACTTAGTGAGACAAAAATGGTGTAAACTATTTCAATAATGTTATAGTAATTACTACATACGTAATGAATACATTTAGTCTGTATTGAGTTAAACAGAATATGGTATTAAAATTACATTTCCCTGTTTCCTTGTTCTTTAGAGTGGTACTATAACATTTACAACTCTATCTATGGGCAGTGTTGTGCTAGGCAGAGGGCACAGCTGACGTGAAGGCCTTACGGTGGGAATGAGCCCGGCAGCTCAAAAATGAGCTCCAGCTTCAAAAATCCCCCTGCGTGGTCAGAGCCTCTTTCTCTGCCAGCCCTCTTAATTCCTGACTCCTGTAACATGAGTTCTTTAACCTCCTCAACATCTCCAGGATCTACCTCAGCATTCCTTACAGAGTGGTCTCACCCACTGGCTGCATCAGAATTTCCTGACCCCATGTCTGGATCCTGCCACTAAGTCAGAATCTCTGCTTAAACTCCTCCGTGATCGAACACATACTAAAGTTTGGGGAGCCTGCCCTAGCCCACTTCATTTCTCCCACTATCAATTCCTTCCAAACCTCTTATCCTTTCCCTCCCCGCAATCCAAGACCTTCCAAATGAGCACTAGGTCCACAATTTCTGTACACTACAACCACCCAGCAGAGCCCCAACCCTGGACCACTACCACAGTCCATATGCTCTGTTTGCGGAGCTGGACTGCTGAGTAGAATCCCTCAGATATTCTAGCCTCAAGGCATTGTGACCTCTCCTATGGTAAGCAGAACAATGCACCCCTGCCATAGATGTCTCTGTCCTAATCCCAGGAGCCTATGATGATGTTACATTACATGGCAAAGGGGAAGGAAGATTGTAGATGGAATTAAGGTTGCTAACCAACTGACCTTAAAATAGGGAGAGCACCCTCAATTATCCAGATGGGCCCAATCACCAGGCTTCTTCAAAGTGGAAGTGGGAACCTCAAAAACATTATGTAAAGTGAAAGAAGCCAGATGCAAAATGTCATGTGTTGTAGGAGTCCATTTATATGAACTACCCATAATAGGTGACTCCCTAATGAAAGAACACAGATTGGTAGTTGCCAGGGGCTGGAACGAGGAAGGAATGGGGAGCAACTGCTTAATGAATATGAGGTTTCCTTTGGAATGAAGAAAATGTTTTGGAACTAGAGGTGGCAGTTGTACAACATTGTGAATGTACTAAATATCACTGAATTGTTCACTTTAAGATGGTTAATTTTAAGCTATATGCAGCTCGTGAATTTTTTGAGTGGAAAAAAGGAGGCAGAGAGGGGGTCAGAGTGACACAATATTAGAAGGTGTTAACCTTCCCTTGCTGGTGTTGAAGATGGAGGAAGGGCCTACACGCCAAAGAATGTAGCAGCTTCTAGAAGCTGGAAAAGGAAAGGACTAATTCTCTCCTAGAGTTTCTAGAAAAGAGACCCTATCACACCTTGATTTTAGCCCAATGAGACCAGTGTTGGACTCCTAACCTACAGAATTGTAAATTTCTATTGATTTAAGCCGGGTTTATGGTAATTTGTTACAGCAGCAATACACCTCTCATC